TTTCACTTCCTCTGTGGAAAGCAGAGGAAAAAGGTATTATTGGATAAAAGTATTAATTCTTTAGCTTCTTCCAAACTATCTATCCCCCCGTTTTGTATTCCTACGGTAATTCCATTAATAAAATCATCATCATCATCAAGGTTTTTTTCTCATTTTTGCTACAGGCTTTTAATATCTATTACAGAAAAAACTGATTAAATGAGATATGTGTAATTGGCAAACATACTTTGACTTTTGCATTGCAGCTAACCCTCAGTTTGTCCTATATTATCATGACGTACATAATTTTATTGCTAATTATTTGAGTCATTTGGAATAATCAATTTGTCAAGTTTTTATTTAATTTGTAACTTTGAACTCTCAAGACTTATAAAGATAGTTTTAACAGGAGTTGATAAACCAGCTAGCTACATTAAGCCCACACTCATTTAACTTTCAATACTCCTTCTCAATTTTCAGCATATCAGGCCATCTCTAGCAATGCATTGTTCTACCCTTTATACTGACATAGCAATGGAAAAAACCGCAAGGAGAATGGCATTCCTCAATTTTTATTTCATGTTGCAGGTATCAAGGACTCAAATACTAGCACTGAACTCAGAAATCAATTTATGAGATTATTACGATTAATCAGAATAATGTAATTCTTCTATAATTTTATTAGTGTCCTGAGCCTGCTAAGATGTACTGGATTTAGAGATTTATTAAACACCGGCAAGGAATCTTATCTCTTCAATTATTATACTACTAATATATTGGAATTAATTATGGCGGAAGATTCCAGTTTACACACCAAGGAACATCTCCCCCACTCTACTCCAGCTAAATACAAGAATAGAAACTGCCCTGTTACATATAGAAGCCTGTCTGCTCCTATTTTTTCTTGTGAACACACCTGTCAGCTTACCTGTGCATGACGGTAAGGGTGCCCATTCACCATCTACACACTCTATGAATTTTGATCCATAAGGTGCAAATGAGATGTCACACTGAACTTCCAATGTATCACCATGCTGATATACTTGCTTGAGCTCACCAATAACCATGCCATGTAAAATGCTGGGTGGTGCCTGACAAGTCTGAACATTTTCTAGAAAACAGAAAATATCACTCTTATTTTGAGTGTTTACTCAAAGTCCCATAGGCATATATCTGAATATCACTGTCATTAATCATTAATATCAATATCATTTATTTTATTAATACTTTATTAATAAGCTAAGATGTACTGGATTTAGAGATTTATTAAACACTGGCAAGGAATCTTATCTCTTCCATTATTATACTAATAATATATTGGAATCAATTATGGCGGAAGATTCCAGTTTACACACCAAGGAACATCTCCTCCCCCATTTTATTAATACTACTCACTGTCACTCATGCCCTAGTCACCTCCTGTTTGGATTTCTGTAATGCGCTGTACATGGGGCTGCCCTTGAAGAGTATCCGGAAGCTTCATCTGGTTCAAAATGCAGGGGGGCGGGCAGTTATATGTACCCCTAGGCTGGTACTTGTTACACCTCTGCTCCACAAGCTGTATTGGTGGCCAGTTTACTTCCAGGTCCAATTCAAGGTGCTGATTTTTATCTTTAAAGCCCTTCATAGCATGAACCGCCTCTCCCTGATTACATCTGCCCATCCCTTCAGATCCGGCAGAGAAGGCATGCTGCGGCTCCCGTCTGCCAGGGAATTACATTTGGCAGGTCTCAGGAGGTGGGCCTTCTCTGCCATGGCACCCACCTTGTGGAATCTTCTCCCTCTAGAAGTGAGATTAGCTCCATCCCTCTTAATATTCCATAAGTCCCTCAAGACCTCGCTATGTGATCAGGCCTGGGGGTCCCAGGGGACCAGGGAGATTTTGTGGTGGCTCCCTTATTAATTTTATCCTCTCCTGTTTTATGTGCTTTTATATTTTTTTTATTTGTAATTCTTTTTATGTATTTACTTTTTTTAATTGTTGTACACTGGCCAGAGTCACTTTGTGTGACATGGGCGGCTATACAAATAAATAAATAAATAAATAAATAAATAAATAAATAAATAAATCTCAGATATCCAAGGAATATACCTGTTATAACTGTAAAAAAAAAAAGAGTAAACCTTAGTGTCTATTATTGGTATCTGCTATTCATTTCCCCCCTCCACCAGCCAAAATTAAAAATATGTGGATTAAATCTGCAAGTCTTTCAAAGAGATTTAAAGTTGTAATAATAGGGAGAAACTCTTTCAGGCATGGTCACTTCAGCAAAGCCTAGACGTGACTTTCCAACAATTGTCTTTTTCAGAGGATGTGGGAAGTTACAAGAGGATCAATTATGCTGACTTGGTACCAAGCAACAGGGGAAAAAACTATGAAAGAATGAACAGGGAAATGAACAATGAATGAAAGCACCAAAAACATTGGGGGAAAGTGGTATTAAGAGCCAAGTTCTCAATTTTAAGAAAAAGTGAGGCTGAATATAGTGAAGCATATATCTTAGATTTCTAGTAAGGAAACCCAAAAAGGCCAGTTCTCTAAATCTCTGAGCAAACAGAACTATCTCCCTGAGATTAAATACGGAAGGAAACTCAGACATAAATAGCTTTTGTTCTTGAGTCTTCCCAGGTGCAGACCTAGTTGGAAGAA